TAAAAGCCCACCCATTCCCACCCCCCCTGCCAGCAGCAGGGACACCTTCCACTAGACCAGGTTGCTCAAAGCCTCATGCAACCTGGACTTCAACACTTCCAGGGAGCAGCCACAGCTTCTCTGGGCAACCTGGGCCAGTGTCTCACCACCCTCAAAGGAAAGAATTTCTTCCTCACATCTCAGCTCCATCTCCCCTCTTCCAGTCTGAATCCATCACCCCTTGTTCTGTCACACCCAGCCCTTGTCAAAAGTCCCTCCCCAGCTTTATATTGCCTAAAATTTCCACGTTAATTTGAAACCACATTTAAGAGAGTGATTCACTCTAAAACTTTGGTTCATCCCAAGTTTTAGCACTAATTTCAGGTTCCCTTCTCCACGGAATCACAAGCCAACTCCGAACCACCAGCAGTATAAATCATGCCAAAACACCGCAAGCACATGGCAGGCTCTTCCCCATCAGCCAGTAATTAACACCCGATATTCCACAAGTAGTTAATTACACCACACAACTCTGCTAAAAACCCAGATTTGTGCCTGCAGGGATGGGAGCAGCAATAAAACTCTCCAGCTACTTTATACGGTGTCGTTAGCGCACTCAAGGGTGGGGGGTTTGCCTTCCACGCCGCTGAAGTCACTGGGACCTTGGGTCTGGAGGATTGCTGGTGCAGGGACATAGCAGTCCCATGTGTGAATTCAGAATTATTTTAATTCCCCTTAAAAATGTCTTAATTTGAAGGAAAGCACATCTACAAAAGCAGCCATAGGTCCCGTTCCCAGCTCCCACCTTCACATGCACCAGAAGAAATTCAGCATTTTCCTCAGCAAAAGAAAACTCCCTTCACTAGACATCCAGAGATCTTTAAATTGTACCTTTTTTTTTTTCCTTTTCAAGCAAATAACGTTTTATACCGTGCTTTTCTTTCTGCAAAAGGGATGATAAAGAATAAACGCTCTTAAAAGAATAAACTCTCTGCCGGCGACGCAAATGCACACGGATGCTTTGCTGCTTGTACCTACAGAGACGCACCGAGAGATGAGCACTCAGGAGCAAATAAATCATCCATTTATTTATCCTAACGTTCCGATAATGGATAGATAATGCACAAGCTGTAGAGGCAGGCAGAGCTTTCAGAAAGCTTAATGGTGAGCAGAATAAATTCTACAGTTCAAATTTAAACAGGACTTGAAATTTTTCTCCATTTAACATCGCTCCAGCGCGATGTTCTTGGCGTATGAAGGGAGCAGGGAAGGCTGGTGGGAACAGGGTGGGGTTTATTCCTGAATTTTACTTTTTTTTCCCCCTCTGGCAATGCTGCTGGAAGGTCGTAGAGCAGCTTCGGACATGGGGAATGAGCAAGCCCTTATTTATGGGTTTTAATAATTAACACGACGCAGCTTCTGGCAGCGTCAGGCCCAGGCAATCATTAACTGCAGGAAGAAATGACTCAGCTGGCATTTAACGCTCGGGACCAACAGGGACCGTTCAAACTGCTGGACGTCAACCAACAGCCAAAATTTGGGGGTCTGCAGCCATTTGAGGGGGTGATGCTGCTGCTGCTGCTGCAGGGAAATTTTCCATCAGCAGAGCCCTGTCCCCCTCCAACACCCAGAGAATGGGGATTCCCTTCCCACCCCACTAACATCCCCCTCTGCTCCGCTCTCCTGACACCCCACCTGCAGTGCTGCCTCCAGTGCTGGGGCCACCAACAGCACAAGGACATGGAGCTACTGGAGCCAGTGCAGAGGAGGCCACGAGGATGATGCGAGGGCTGGAGCAGCTCTGCTATGAGGACAGGCTGAGAGAGTTGGGGCTGTTCAGCCTGGAGAAGAGAAGGCTCCGGGGAGACCTTCTAGTGGCCTCCCAGTACCTGAAGGGGCCCCAGGAAGGTGGGGAGGGACTTTGGCCAAGGGCAGGGAGTGACAGAACAAGGGGTGATGGCTTCAAACTGGCAGAGGGGAGATGGAGATGAGATGTGAGGAAGAAATTCTTTGCTGTGAGGGTGGTGAGACAGTGTCCCAGGTTGGCCAGAGAAGCTGTGGCTGGGCCCCCCCGGAAGTCTTCTCAGCCAGGCTGGATGAGGCTTTGAGCAAAGTGGAAGGTGTCCCTGCTGATGGCAGGGGGATTGGGACTGGATGAGCTTTAAGGTCCCTTCCAACCCAAACCAGTCTACGATAATCACCCCAGGCAGAAAGTTTCCTGTAACAATCCAGTAAAACCACAAACCGAGGCTGCAGGGAAAAGCATTAAACCCTCCTCTGGACCCAGCTGCGCTGTTAGCGCACCCTCGGCCGTGCTTCGGTCGGCTCTGCACGCAGCCAGCATACCAAGCGCCTTCCATAAAGATGCTACTTCTTCCCCTGAGCACGGCTCCTTGGCATATTAATTACAAATTATTGGCACAGCAAGCTTGATGAGCCCAGGAACCCGACTACCACTCAACTTTGCCAGTTTTGCAGATGAAATTTCCCCCCCCCAGAAGCACAGAGAGGATCTTAAGCAGGATTTGTTGGGGATTTGGGGTAAGGAGGGGACAGGGCTGCCCTCGTGCAGGGCGAGTCCCACACACAAGCACAGATGAGCCCTGTGCAAGCAACCAAAGGGGAAAAAAAGTGAGACTTGAGGAGCTTTTGGGGTAGGTTTCGTGGCCAAAAAACTAGACCTGGGGCCTGACGGAGATCCGTGCGATGATTTTGCCAAGGTGCTGGATGGAAGTGGCTGCTGCACCCTGCCTGCTCCTCACCTGGCCCCAGCTCCAACCCTTGGCCCAAACTGGGCAGCCTGGGGTCCCTTAGCTGCACCCAGGGTTGGGTCAGCCAAAAAACTCCTTAGTAGCCCCAAAACTCATTTGCATGGGGTAGGGATGGCCAGCTCACAGCTGGAA